ACAGGTAGAGTGTGCTGAGGAGGACTAAGGCAGCATGTCTGTGACGATCTGTATTAACAGGTAGAATCTCCTGAGGAGGACTAAGGCAGCATGTCTGTGACAAGCTGTATTTACAGGTAGAGTGTGCTGAGGAGGACTAAGGCAGCATGTCTGTGACGATCTGTATTAACAGGTAGAGTGTGCTGAGGCAGCATGTCTGAGTGGAGCTGGACTAAGGCAGAGTGTCTGTGATGAGCTGCATAACAGAGTCATCTGAGCTGGACTGGGGCAGTGAGTCTGTGGAGAGCTGTATTAACAGTTAGAGTGAGCTGAGCTGGAATTAGGCAGTGTGTCTGTGTGGAGCTGGACTAAGCCAGCATGTCAGTGGAGAGCTGTACTAAAGGGGAGCTGCAATGCTATTTTTGTACTTCGGGGTTAGAAAGAATCGGCATTGATGAGTGAATGTCAAACCGCAATGAGAGTAAAATGCACACAGTAACGTCTTAAACCTCCAATTTACATCACAAAATAGATTCAATTTCCAGAATGGGCAGCGCCAGGTTCTTTGAATCAGAACGAAGCAACAAAACGTCCGGTGATGTGAAGCAGCCCTATTAGATGTGTAAGCCAGCACACTTGTGAATACATTGATTTTTAATCCAGTAGGAATATTGCTGTCGTCTTTGAGACAGTTTTGCCAACTTGCTAGATAACTCTGCATAAAGTTCACGTTGGAACATTTCTGCAGTAAAATGTCTGCTGCTAAACCTGTACTTATTTGCTCGTACATCACATTACATTAGTCATTTCGATGACGAGTTGGCAGGAAGGGACACTTCACGTTCCAATTCACGTGAACTCTCTCTCTCGCCCGTGATGAGACCAGGAGTTGGCAACAATATGGCGACTCTACAGTACTTTCACAAAGTTCATGATTTTGTGCTCAATTCAGAATTTGTCCAATTTTGCGATGGCGTTAATTATTTTATTTTGTAACCGAGATTTAATAAGCGGTCTGAGAAGTTGAGATTGCAGTTCTGTTTTAACTGTTAGATTGAGCTGAACTGGACTAGGGTGGTGTGTCTGTGTTGAGCTGGACGAAGGCAGCATGTCTGTGACGATCTGTATTAACAGGTAAAGTGTGCTGAGGAGGACTAAGGCAGCGTGTCTGGTGAGCTATATTAACATATACAGTGTGCTGAGGAGGATTAAGGCAGCGTGTCTGTGACGAGCTGTATTTACAGGTAGAGTGTGCTGAGGAGGACTAAAGCAGCGTGTCTTTGACGATCTGTATTAACCATAAAGTGTGCTGAGGAGGACTAAGGAAGCTTGTCTTTGACGAGCTGTATTAACAGGTAGAGTGTGCTGAGGTGGACTGAGGCAGCATGTCTGTGGTGAACTATATTAACAGTGTGCTGAGGAGGATTAAGGCAGTGTGTCTGTGGCGATCTGTATTAACAGGTAGAGTGTGCTGAGGAGGACTAAGGCAGCATGTCTGTGACAAGCTGTATTTACAGGTAGAATATGCTGAGGAGGACTAAGGCAGCGTGTCTTTGATGATCTGTGTGAACAGATAAAGTGTGCTGAGGTGGACTAAGGCAGCATGACTGTGGTGAACTATATTAACAGTGTGCTGAGGAGGACTGAGGCAGCGTGTCTGTGACGATCTGTATTAATAGATAGAGTGTGCTGAGGAGGATTAAGGCAGCGTGTCTGTGGCGATCTGTATTAACGGGTAGTGTGCTGAGGAGGACTGAGGCAGCGTGTCCGTGACGATCTGTATTAACAGGTAGAGTGTGCTGAGGAGGACTAAGGCAGCATGTCTGTGGTGAGCTATATTAACATATACAGTGTGCTGAGGAGGATTAAGGCAGCATGTCTGTGATAAGCTGTATTTACAGGTAGAATATGCTGAGGAGGGCTAAGGCAGCGTGTCTTTGATGATCTGTGTGAACAGATAAAGTGTGCTGAGGAGGACTAAGGAAGCTTGTCTTTGACAAGCTGTATTAACATGTAGAGTGTGCTGAGGAGGAATAAGACAGCATGTCTGTGGTTAACAGATAGAGTGTGCCGAAGAGGATTAAGGTGTCTGTGACTATCTATATTAACAGGTAGAGTGTGCTGAGGAGTAGTGTGTGTGCTGAGCTGTATTGTGTATGTGATTAAAGGTGTTAAACTGGTGTGTGACTGTATCGAGGTGCATTGAAGCAATGTGCACGAGTTGACCAAGCTGAAGCAGTGTGTATGTTTCATTGTATTGACGCCCACAATGGAGCTATATTGAGACCGTGTGTGTGCTCCGCTTGACCAAGGCAGTGTGTGTTGAACTGTTCAAAGTCAAAGTGCATTTCTGCTATTCACTATGAACAGGATGTGGTTAGGCTCTTGCCAGGTCACAGAGGAGCACGAGGGCACAGCCAGTTCTGCTTTGCACAGGCCTCTCTCTCTCCCTCTCTCTCTCTCTGTTTCATCCGTGCCATTCCCCAGTCAGACTGTTAAATGTACTTTTGAGTCACCCGGCTCACTTTAAAGAAGACAACAGAGACAGGGGCATGTGGCTGCCGTCAGAGTCGCATTTCCTGTTGTTTGTGAAAGGGCAGGGAAGGAAGTGAGATCAGCCTGATGTCTGTGCCATGCAGGGTGAGCCGGGGTTCGAGGGGAACTCTGGCCTTGCTGGTTTTCACCCAATAAAAGCTCTGATCTCTTGACACCAAGAGTTCCAGGCCCTTCCCCGTCAGATGTCGGCCTAGGCTCCCCCTGCGGCGCCCACACCTGCAGTCCTGACCGTGTGGTCTCCAGACTGCGGCCCGCGCTCTAGACTGGCTAATAAAAGACAGGCTGGGAGAGCTGAAGCAAGGGTAATGTCCAACAAACAGGGCTGTGGGACTTTATTTGCCCTTCTTGCACAATAGTCCACCATGAGAAGTTCAATGCAGTTTTGCAATACACAAAAAACCTTACAGCGGTCGAAAAGTTCCCAAAAAAGTCCGACGTGATCGCCAACAGATAGCCAGCGTTTCCTGCTGTTGTCTGTTGTCTGATCTGCTGTTGTCTCCCAGACCCAGAACTAAGGCAGCCCTTAAATCTCAAGTCACACAATATACTCGAATCGCACAGTATTCTGGTTGCCAAATAAAAGGCTTTCATACGCTACAGTAAAGATGTCTTTTTCGAGTTCCTGGCGTTTATTTTAGTGCTTGTCCGGCTCAGTGTTTCCTGGAGATGCAGGTGATTCTCCCTCAGCTGACTGCTCCGTCTGCCTGCAGGCTTCAGCTCGGTTTATTTTTGGTGTCGTCTGTCTTTCGAGATTAGAAGACCGGCTTCTGAAAGCCTGCACCCCAGTCCTGTCCTGGCTGCGGCCAGTGCAGTGCTGTGCTTTGCTGACACAGTGACAACCAGGGCCGCTGTGAAAGTGTGATCTGGATTTAAAAACCATCAATCCTGCGGGCGGGCTAACAGCCACGTTTAGGACCGTAAAATAAGTTAGAATGCTTGACAACAAGAACAAAAGGAGGCCCTTTGACCCACCTAGCCCTATGGATAATCAGTCATTAATTGATCCAGGCACCTGAAACAGCTCTAAGGCAGCCAAGGTATCAGCTTCAGCAACAAGGCTGGGCAGCTTGTTCCATACCCACACAACTCTTTGTGTAGGCAAGCGCTTCTGGAACTCGGGACACATGCCTTTGATGTTCTCTGATGAATCAGTCATCAAATCAATCTTTCTAGAATGGTCAGTACATTCAATTGAGAATTGTACTCGATGAGAAGTTGTTGTAGCATAGAATATCTGAAATGAATAATAGAAACTCAGGCTTTGCCGTAAACAAACATTTACTCGTGCTGTTTCTAGAGATGTCACATATCACCCCCCGCAAAACCCCAAAAGGTTGACACTTTTGTAAGTGTTACCAGCTCTTGCGTGTGTTGAGAATGTGTTTTTTTTTCCTGTTTTGGGCTCAAGTAAACAGCTGGAGTCCATAATTGAGTAGTTTGATGCATGCCAAAGAGTTAGTTTAGTTTCGCAATCTGAATGAAAGAGATTAGCTTCCCGGTAGTTCCTGTCACACTTGTACATGATAATGTTGAGCAGCCTGGCAAGTTCCGTGGTGTTTTTTGCTCGTTAGGTGACCTTTCTAAACTGGAGGTGTCATGTTTCTTTCTTCTTGTCTTCTTTCCTTCGTATAATATGATTCCTGTATGAAATATCGTTCACTTCGCAGCGTGAGGTACCTGTGTGCTTGCACTGCCCTGCTTACTTCAGATCCACAGCGCATTGTGTTGACATCTTTTAGATAACTCGACTCATGTTATTGCACTGTTCTTAGGCAGTGTGCAGTTTCACGAGTTAACTTATTAGATTGACACTTCTGTAGCCAGCAGTTTTAACACATCTGAAAAATGACTTCCTCAAGTCTGCAGTGCAAGTTAGCATATTTGAAAAGCTGCAGGCAGCACGTCCATAGCAGTCCTTTGCTTTCAGGGCCTGCTCGTTTGTCTGCAACGGGGGATCTGTTAGCAGTGTGGTGGGCCTGTGCACGTGACAGGCCGTGAAACACAGAACACGCACGGTAACACAATGTTCACTTCTCCGTCTGGCTGTGCACCCCTCCCTAGGGGTGGCGGCCGCTGTCAGCGAGGGCAGGGAAAAGCTTTTCCTCCGCCCCGATGTCTGACGCGTGCCCGTGCGTTTCTGTACCCGCAGTTGTGTCTCCGGCTTCCTGGGGGAGTACTGCCAGCACAGAAACCCCTGCCGCCAGGACTCCTGTCAGAACGGGGGTAACTGCAGCGCCACGCTGAAGGGGGTGCTGGTGGAGACCAGCTGCATTTGCCCCCTGGGATACACGGGCAGCCAGTGCGAGACGGCCCTCCGGACACCATGTCACCCCAACAACACCTGCCAGAACAACGGCGAGTGCCGCCTGCTGACACTGGACAAATACCAGTGTCTGTGTCCCGTGGGCTGGACTGGTAAGACATCAGTTTCTACCGCACAGCTGAGCACCAAGTTCGTTGTTGCATTTTGCGTCGTGTATGATTGTCTCTGTTCTCGGTGCACATGAGCATGCATGGTCCAGGGTAGGGCTGGGCGATATGGCCAAAAACATTATCACGCTAAAAATGTTGATATCAGTCGATATCGATAATTATCACGATAAATGTAAAATCATTATTTCTTTCAAGTTTAAAGGCAGATTTTTTCTCCTGAGGGAAAGTTAATTGGTAAATCGAACGACTCTTTATTTTAAGAACACAACAAACACTTGCCAAACAGCAGAAACATTAAACAAATCTGAGGCAGAGAGTATTCAAGTCTTCTTTGTCAAAATAGACACGAGTAAAATTTACAAAATAAATATCTTAATAGAAAAATGAAATACTGCAGTGTGATAAAACACACATGGAAGATGGCTCAGACAGACTGCAAAGTTTAAACTGCTCTGTTTTATGTCTGATCGTAAAAAGCCAAAATATCTCCAAATTACCCATTTTATCTCCATTTGCTTCAGTGTCGCTCATTTCTCCACTCTAACTACAATCCTGTCAGCCACCACCGTGTGGGTCAACACCACCACGTTAGCTGCCCGGTCTGCAACACGCACGCACACTCGCGCAGTATTTTGTGCGCATGTGCATATCATGCGCAAAGCATAAACGTATATATCGAACATTTATCGAACTTTTGTTAAAATTACATCGAGCAAAATTATATCGCGATAAGTATCGTGATCGAATTATCGCCCAGCACTAGTCCAGGGTACAGGAGTCGACGGGTTACAAGCCTGCACCTCTCTGCCCTCTCCCCGAACCCCCCAGGTCAGGACTGCGAGCAGGTAGACTCCTGCGCCTCCAGCCCCTGCGACAACGGCGGCGCGTGCTCCACGCTCCCCGGGTCTCGTTTCTCTTGCGCCTGCCCGCCCGGCTACGCGGGCGCCACCTGCCGGAATGACATCGACGAGTGCGCCACCTCGATGCCCTGCCGCAACAAGGGCTCCTGCTTCAACACGCTCGGGTCGTACCGCTGCCAGTGCCAGGCGGGCCACATCGGCCGCCACTGCGAGAGCGCGTACCAGCCCTGCAGCCCCTCGCCGTGCCTCAACGGGGGAACCTGCCGGCAGACCTCGGACCGCTCCTACGAGTGCCACTGCCTTCCAGGTGAGGGGCTGTCGCCGGCCCATCGGTCAGTCGGTTAGTCAGCTCCCGCGGTGTAGATCGCCTTTCCCTGGCAAGACCCATCACAGCCAGCCGAAGAGGGAAGAAGGAGATAGAATTGGAAGCCATGCTGAGGGGTCAAGGCAGTGAGAGAAGTCTATTGCTTATTTTATAAGATAAGATACTTTATTGGCCATATACAATTTCTTGCATTAGGAATTTGTCTTTACGCATACCCCAGCCTGCTCTCCATGAGACACACAGACGGGGAGAGAAGCTTGGGGTCAGAGTGAGGGTCAGCCATTTATACAGCACCCCCAGGAGCAGTTGGGGTTAAGGGCCTTGCTCAGGGGCCCAACAGAGTAGGATTCCTCCGCCGGCCGCGAGATACGAACTGGCAGCCTTCCAGCCACAGGAGCAGATCTTTAGCCACAGAGCCACCGCTCCACGTAACAAGCCATTATGTAGCTTGCCTTAAAAGGTTTTAAACGTTAGCTTCTCCTGCACGTTGTCGTTGGGCTGTGTGATGAGAGACGTCGGCGGAATGAAAAATAAAAATGCACAAAGGAGCTGGCAAAGGCGAGAGGGATGTAGCAGGGCAGCGAACGAGAGAGTGAGGACGATTTCAGATACAGCACAGAAAGCCAAAGGAGGAAGGGGCGATTGAGAAAAAGGAGAGGCGTGCTACTCAGAGAGGTGGTGGGACCAGACGTCGTCAGGGAAACAGACAGACTGTGCGATAGAGAAGTTGCAGAATCCCAAGCCACTTCCTGGCCTGTTGTGTGTCAGTGCAGAGGAATCCAGACTGGTTGGGTCAGTTTGTTTGGCTGCAGTTCAGGCTCTGGTGAAGAACTGATTGAGTTAAGGCTGTGGGATTTCCTCCCAGTGAAACTTCAAGAGCTTGAGGGTGTCTGGAACAAGCCACACAGCCAGGCTGTTGAAGCCTTTACCCTGGCTTTTTTCAAGAAACAGCTTGATGAGAATGAATTAGCTACTAACTACAACACAGGTTAGGGGTTTAGTAGATGTCTCCTCTTGTTTGTAACTGTTCTTATGTTTAGTTCAGAGAAAGGAGGCTGTATTTGCTATTCATCCACCTGTAACCCTTACAGAATTTCGTTCCCAGTTCCACAGAGGGAACAACCTATGCCCTGATCAAAAATCAGTGTTCTCCAGTTCCTGACATTCTGTGAGAGGGATTAAATGATAGAGGAAGGCGTGTCTCTGGAGGTTGATGGGTGCAGGTGCAGATACTGGATGGAAGGGATAAGACTGAGAGCAGTGGTTACACAGGAGGGAGACATAGTTTAACACCTGAACACAGCAGTACTCCTGCTTCAGACCAAACTAACTTAGGAGTTTAGAAAGCAAGAGTTTTATTTTCATTGTGATACGCATATACACAGGGAAGGAGAATGCCTTTCCACCTACCTCACGTCTGCTGTTGTATTTGAAAACAATCATAATGTCCCTTTCAACACTGAAGCCTCCTGTTATTGTTGGACTGAGAACAGGCATTTCATAGTCACCTATTGCTCTCTTTTTTGTGTTCTTTATGTCTGTCTCCCCCTCTTTCTCCTTTTCCCTATCTCTGTTTCCATGTTTTCAGGCTTCAATGGGACGAATTGTGAGAACAACATCGATGACTGTCCCAATCACCACTGCCAGAATGGAGGCACTTGCATGGATGGCGTCAACACCTACAACTGCCAGTGTCCACCAGAGTGGACAGGTAAGTGTGTGTGGTGAGGGTAGAGAGGCAGGTGGGTGTGTGCCTTGTGTAGGTAGACAGCCAGATGAGTTTGTGCCTGATGGAGGTAGAGGGGTAGACAGCCAGGTGAGCATATGCCTGGTGGGGGTAGACAGCCAGGTGAGCGTTTGTCTGGTGGGGGTAGACAGCCAGGTGAGCGTGTGCCTGGGGAGGTAGAGGGGTAGACAGCCAGGTGAGCATGTGTCTGGTGGGGATAGAGAGCGTGTGCCTGGGGAGGTAGAGGGGTAGACAGCCAGGTGAGCATGTGTCTGGTGGGGGTAGACAGCCAGGTGAGCGTTTGTCTGGTTGAGGTAGAGGGGTAGACAGCCAGGTGAACGTGTGTCTGGTGGGGGTAGACAGCCAGGCTTGCTCGTGTACCTGTTGGGGATAGAGAGACAAGAAGCAGAGAGGGGAAGAGAGATAATGAAGGAGAGTTGTGCATTGAGGACAGAGAAGGCAGAGGAGAAATAGGAGATAGGGAGAGTTGGCTGTGGTAAGCAGACAGCGTGCTATACACAACGTGACTGGGACTGCATTCAAAGTGCTGTGTCAGTGGATCTCTCAGGAGTGCTGGCAGTGTGCCCTCTAGCCTGACCAAATCTTTCTGTATCACTGGCACATACGCAAGTCTCCAGACAAGGTGGGGGATGGGAAAGAAGGGATCATTTTGGTAAAGAAACTCCTGTTTTAAATCATTGCCTTCAGCAGGAACCCTTATTCAAACCAGCATAAAAAGCTCATTTAAATCTATATAACGACGTACTCAATTATTTAAACCAGCTAAGGGCAGAACAGTTCCACCAGTTTTGATAAGGCAGATCCTTTAATGAAAATGGTTAACTACGTGCAAATGTGCGTCGTCCTGCAGTTGTTTTCAAGGGTTTGAAGTTTCAGGCTTTTGGGGTGGAGCCACAGGACTGTTTGTGACCCCCTCACGAGAGCTATTTTCTCGGAGGCCAGGGGCACATACCTTCCCCACCTCTTACAAAATGTAACCAGAGTCTCGTTCTCTTCCCCCTTCCGCAGTCGGTTCTCTCTCTCCCCCACACGTCCGTCTCCGCCCCTGCTGGTCTTGCTGCGCTTCTCCTCGTCTCTCTCCTAGTCTAGTGCCTTTTCACCCCTGCCTCTCCGCCTCACGGTCCCCCTGCCCCTCCTCCCCCAGGCCAGTTCTGCACGGAGGACGTGGACGAGTGCCGGCTGCAGCCCAACGCCTGCCAGAACGGGGGCACGTGCAGCAACGTGCCGGGGTCGTACAACTGCGTGTGCGTCAACGGCTGGAGCGGGCAGGACTGCAGCGAGAACATCGACGACTGCGCCGCGGCGCCCTGCACCCCGGGCTCCACCTGCATCGACCGTGTGGCCTCCTTCTACTGCAAATGTCCCCCCGGAAAAACAGGTGCCAGCCTCGTTTCCCATTTCCCGTTTCCCCTTGCGGGGTTCCAGTAGCGACTCCCATGCTTGCCTGTTTCTGAGGGGGATCGTGGGCCGGATATCCTGGTGAAGCGTAGTGTTGTGCGTCATCAGCGTTTATTTGACAGCGGCACACCTGCCTTTAAGACCCAATTCACAGACTTCACTAGTTCCTGATGTGACCAAACGTATTCAGTGCCAGAATGGGGTATGTCATGTTTTTCTAATGTTTCGAACCGCTTCTTTAAGATATCCTTGGGATTACCCAAGCAAAGGCTGCATACATATCTGTGCGGAAAAGAATCTGCCAGGATGTCCTGCAATACACTACCGTAGACACCGGTCTCGGAAGACGTCACGTTTTAAATGCAGTGATTTTTTCAAAATGAACGAGCCATTAGCTCGTACTTGATAGTGATTTCTCAAGAATGGATTTGGGTACATCTGGCCTGTGCTTCTTGAGAATCTGATCGAGATCTGGGCAGAGGAACACCCAGAAGCTAGAGAAGTAAGGTATATGTCCTTCCATCAGGGGATGTACAGTATGTGGAACTAAGGCTCATCATTTTCTTCATTGTGCAGGAGTGCTACACTAGTGTACCTATGCTCCTTGACAATACACAACAGCTGTAAAAACCACATTGTGCTGCTTTAAAAGCAGTATGTGGATTTGTTTGAATGCAAGGTGAAATTTATATTTAAGGTAGGTACGTGTGGTAAAAATGAAAAGAAAATGTCATCAAAAAGGCACAGGATTCCAAATGGCCATCAACAGGTTTTAATGGCAATTATGAAACTGTTTTACTCGGAACCCCGAAGGAGCAAATTCAGATTCGCCTCGTAAGGGCCGGCTGTCAGGTGACTCATGTTGCTGTCGCTGCGTCGGCAGGTCTGCTGTGCCACCTGGATGACGCGTGCATCAGCAACCCCTGCCGCCAGGGCTCCGTGTGCGACACCAACCCCCTGAACGGCAAGTTCGCCTGCACGTGCCCCCCAGGCTATAAGGGCAACTCCTGCAACGAAGACATCGACGAGTGCTCCATCGGTGAGGACGCGCCCTCGCGCCCGCCCCCGTTGTTGAAGCCGCCCGCGCTGACTGTGCTCTCTCTCTTTCTCTCCCCCCCCCGTGCCAGGCCCCAACCCTTGCGAGCACGGCGGCCGCTGCGTGAACACGGACGGCTCCTTCGCCTGCGAGTGCGCCAGCGGCTACGAGGGCCCGCGCTGCGAGAGCGACGTCAACGAGTGCCACTCCTCGCCCTGCCAGAACGACGCCACCTGCCTGGACCAGATCGGGGCCTACACCTGCATCTGCATGCCGGGTACGGCCAGAGGGCGGGGGGTCCCTGCGGTCCGGGGGACGGGCTCGTCGTGTCCTCTCCACCTTGAGGCCTTGTCCCAGCGCATCCTTGATTAAGCCATGCGGCCAATAAGCCTCAATGATAATTAAATGCAGGGACTTTTATAGCCACTGGCTAATCATTTATGAAGCAGGAAAACTTGATTGCTAGTTGTACTGAGATCCTATAGTAACGTGTCCACTGTGAGGGAGCAGGACCGAGGTGACACAACGTTCTCCTGGTTTTAGTGGTATAGACCTTGAAAAAAAGCTGCAGAAGCCTCTTGTCATGTGGTCTCCTAGTTCTCGGCATGAATGCTAATAGGTCGTTTTCAGTTCATTGGTGTTTGTTGTTTTTTTTTAAACTTTCACTGTGAGATCCCTGTGTCTGTCTGTCTCCCCAGGCTATACGGGTCTTCACTGCGAGACGGACATTAACGAGTGCGCCAGCAGCCCCTGCCTGAACAACGGGCGCTGCCAGGACCGGATCAACCACTTCATCTGCCACTGCCCGGCAGGTCCGCCCCTGTCGTCTTCTTCCTTCACCTCTCTCTCTGTTCCGCCGTCTCCCGACTTACCGAGACTCCCGCCCCAGCACAACAGACTGCTCACCCACTTCCTCTCCCTCTCTCTCTCTCTCAGGGTTCAGTGGGGAGATGTGCCAGGTGGACAATGATGAATGTGCCAGCACTCCTTGCCATAACGGAGCCAAGTGTATCGACCGGCCCAATGGCTACGAATGCAACTGTGCTGAAGGTATGACACACACCATCACACGCACATGACCGCCTGTGTGTGCTGGCACACGCGTGTAATAAGATGTATGCACAGGAAGACTGAGACCTCAGCATGTGTATATTACTTAGGGTGGACTAAGCAGGGGCCAATAGCTCCTTATTGGGCAGCACAGACACAGTGTCTTCCCAAGAACACAAGACAGGTTTCAGATGGAAAGTCAGTCCATCTAACCTGGGTGGTCTTGTGGCCTGAGAGTCTTATCCAGCCATTTCTTGTAAGAAGCCAGGGTATCGGCTTCAACACCATGTTGGGTAAAGAAGTGTATCTTGTTCTCAGCTTCAGCTTCAACGTAGCTTCTACCAGTGCCCTCTGGTTTGTGTGCCCTGGTCTGTTCTGATGAAGTGCACTGGGTTGACTTAGTCAGTTTGATTACTTTTGATGATTCTGAATGCTTATATTCAATTTTTAGTACTTAAATTGAATGCTTGTGTTCCCCATTCTCAATGGCTGCTTTGTGTAGGTGGTGCCATAATCACTGACACTGGGCAGAGCTAGATGGTAGAGTCTCCTAGCTCCTATTCCAGCCCCACATTCCTCTAGCTGCTGGTCTAAAACAACAAGTGATCAGGCACGTCGAAGGCATGGGGGTGGGGGTGGTACTTTCCGAGCAAGATCAGTGGGATTCAACAGCGAGAACAGGCATTGCTCACCAGTGCACCATTGTGCCACCTTCATTATAATCCAGTTATAGAATTATTAATGTCATTGTGTACATGTGCAGTGAAACATGCACTGTCATAAATATCGAAACACTGAAAGATAGGGCCTTTCTGCCCTAATTATGGTCTTCAAAATCTTTGCCAGCACCCTAATTTGTCAGAAGCACCGCAGTGTTCAGCGCTTCTTAAAGCCACGCTGATCAAGCTGTGATCCTGCCTGAGAGCAGGGTCAGATTCTGAGCCCGATCCAACAAACTCAAGTTAAGATCAGGACAGTAGCCTCGATCCAGGATGAGATCCTGTTAGTACAGCAGACCCCTGGTCCTGAGTGGGAGTGGGAATGGCAGGTGAGGAGCGCAACTTCTAAATATTCTTGATGAATATATGCATTAGAGTGCATATGGAATCCTTAAGAGATGAAGACTCTATCCTATGAAGGCTTTGGAATCTACACGGTCATACATTATTAGTAGTAGTAGTAGTAAAGGTCTCTGGTTACTGGTGCAGAAATGTGGGCAGAGGTGTCCCACATGATTTCGCGTTTAACATGCGTGCTGGTGTACAGAGACACAAGGCAGGAAGAGTCACACATGCACAGACCCATGTGAGAGACTTTGAAATGCAGCCTTGAGGAAGAAATGTAGCCGTCGAGCTCCCCGTCTGAGATCTTGAGAACACAGAGGAGCAGAGTGCCTGGTGCCTGTAACAGCCCCCCGGTCTGTGTGGGGCTGTGACTGTGGCGGGGGTGGTTAGTCACACTGTCATGCCTGCCTTGTGCCGATTGGCTGCTGTGTTCCCGGAACAGCATCCACTGTTGGCTCTGCCCCTTCAGCGGATAGCTATTTCCACAACTGTGGCTGATTCTGATGTTCATCAGCTTCTCAAACATAATCCAAGTATCCCCTGTGGCACAGATTTATTCAAAGGCGCCACTACCCGCACGCAACAGCACTTCCACACACACGCGCGCGTGCGAACCACACACACACAGTGTATTGACAGAACACAGACACCCATTCAGCGTGCAAACGCTCACCCTCTCACAGTTATTAACTCAAGCTCAGTACATGGCGTGTCTCCTAGCCAGGTTTACGCTACTTAACCGCTGCTCATGGTCTTCTGTATTCCTTTTTAAAGGCACATATAGAGTAAACAGGGACCCCAACATCAACACAACCTCAATGAAGATTCCAAAACGGATATCATATTGCATATTTAGATCAAAAAAGAAGTACTTCATAAGAAAAGTACAGTGCGTCCTATTTAAATTTGCGGGAAATTAAGAAAACAGATGTGGGTACTGTAACAAAATGAATCTGGTGGTGTGTTTTCCAAATCATAACAATTACAGGCCTTAGTTTCAGCTGGCGAATGTGACTCTGTCCTTTTGGCTTTTTGGTGATACTATGGCGGGCGTTCTTGGGGTCAGGCTTTAGATTTAATTATGCAGTCGAAGGTTTCACGGATGTCCTTTTAATTGTGAGTTTGCTTTTAATTGAGATTGATCACAAACTCGTAATTAAAGGGCCTCGAGATATTCAGTCATCTTAAAGTTACAGTTAGTATGATCACTCCTGTGTATTTATGGATCATTTATTGCAACTCTACATAACGTGTAGTAAATTGATTCTTAATGGACCTGAGGAGCCCTGTGCTTTTACGGGTGGTGCTGCCTCAAGCAGAATTGGCCATTCCAGTTTGTGAAGGTACATGGAATTGGCCATTCCAGTTTGGGTGCGCAGGGGGAATTTTGCCATTCCGGTTTGGGTGGGCACAATGAAGTAGATAGTGGGTGAATTCCTCCACAGGAGCATCAGAAATTGTATGTACAGTGATTTCTAGAACCCAACTGGATAGTCACAGATCTGAGGTCAAGTGAGAGATTTCTCCTCTTTAAAAACAAACACAAACGAAGGTCTTAACAAAGCAGATAAAGCAGGTACTTGGCTCCATGAAGGTATCACAACGGCAACACAGAGAGGTTTTTTTGGCTCATCGTTTTAAAAAAGAGACCTTTGTGTTATCTGCTGCTTAGATGGAGCTTCCAGGCAGCAGGGCTGTGTGCTCACTTTCAGTTAAGATTAAGATTTTCCATTCAGGCTGTTTACAGTCTGAGTCCTTGTCCTCCTTTGTAAAATCTTGTGCCCGCGATTGAGTTGAAATATCTTTATCCGCTCTGTTTTCAAAAACGTGGAAAAAACGGGTGAAGATAACAGCAGCAGGGGGGATATTCACACTGTGATTATCTTTACTCCAGTTCAGTTTTTAAAGAGTGTGCAGTCGATCTAGCTCCATTATTGTTATGTGGATGACTTTGGCATGTTTCTTTTGACTTGAGCTGTATGTTCTTTTTATATGGATTGAATTTGCGGGTAATGCGCACAAGAAACAACTTTTTCATGCAAGACTTAGGCTTAGTCCAAGGAAACAATATTTGAACGCCATTACAAGCCGCATCTATTGCAGGCAGCAGAGGTAAAACTGATTAATGCAGCAATTGTTTTTGGTACAAAACTATTAATCATTCTTAATGTTAAAATGTATGAAACCTTTAGCTGTATACAACAAGGAGAGCATGTGTATGATTAGGACTACATTTGAATAACTCCTCTATTTGAAGATATTGACCGTTTTAAAATATTTGAATGGAAAAGGCTTTTAAAAACAATGTTCCGCTGCAAAAGCATGATCTGGATTCCTTGGAAGGATGCTGTATACCTGCAGACTACCGGTTGAGTTGAAAGGCTGAGCTGAATATTGGAACTGCTGGCCCAGAGCAAAACAAGCTGACCAGGTGTTTTACTGGAAGCCTTAAAATAGTGTTAAGGTGCCAAAAACACCTAGCTTTTCACAAAGCTTATGACTAAACTCCGACATTTTCTGCTCTACAGTAATCTACAGCAGTGACACGTTTCTTGTGTAAGGGATTATTAACATTGACGATTTGGGGGAAATTCCCTTAAGAGGTAATGTGTGACTTTACATAGGAACTGTGCACACACAGCATAGATCACTGTCAAACTTCAGATCCATCCATTTTCCAACCGCTTCAGCCAGCGCAGGGAGCCGTAGCCTATCCCAGCCAGCAGCAGGCGTGAGGCAGGATCCTCCCTGGAGGGGGCGCTGGTCCGTCGCGGACTTGTTCCGCAAACCAACAGCCGGGCGAGACGCAATCCCTTTCACAAGTCACTCGTGAGATAGCGGCTTTCCGTGGCTGCAGACTTCCTCGTTCGGATATTTGGAACTCGGATCTTCGGGTATTTGAAACGCGCAAGTGGCTGTGACAACAGCAGGGGTCCGACTTCTCTCTGTGAGCTCTTTGTTGGAGGTTTTGTGCTGTTCACAGAGAGCAGACGGACAAATCCACACATAAGAAGAGGCCATTTGGCCCGCCCGGTCTGGTTGACAGTGTTTTTTAGATGCTATACGTATTAATGACACCTGGTGATTTAATGGTGACCCACTAAGCCTGCTAGACTGAAGCTCTTCAGGAGCAGGGCCGGAGACCCCTGCAGTAGAACACGGACTTGTCCTTCAGCTCTTCTCTCCCTTTTCTGTTTCCTCTCCCCACTACAGTACTTACACATGCTTGCAGACACAGGCCCTTTGGTCACAGACACAGCAAAGGCAAGCGCAGCAGGAGAAAAGTTGAGGTGCTGGTGCACGGAACAGCCACCCACTCAGCACTCGGCTGGGTTCTCTTTTCCTGAACCTCGTTGGTCGCTGGGTGGAATTCAGAGGGACGTAACTGTGCCACAGGGGAGTGCCCGAGGCTGTTAGCGGTTCTGCTTTGGACTGAGGAGAAGGCTGTGCTGGCCCCTCGAATGGCTGCCTGCTGCTCGGCTTGTGTATTACTAGGCACAGTGTATTGTCAGTACAGCAGGTAGGGCTAGGGCTTGACTGATGGTGTACAACCTCCTGGGTGACCTCCTGGCTTCAGTCTGTTAGGGATCTGTCCTCATGCTCACCTGTACAAGTCTCCACAGCCCTGGAGGGGCTTCCTAGCGTGGGTTTCTCCTCTCCTCGGCTCATTCTTTGTGTTCTGCTCTGCGGATCTCTGTGATCTCTCAGTCTGCTAAAGGACAGCTGTACAAGTGGTCTGATCTTTTGAACTGTTCACGTATCCACCAGCGTGCTAAACCTCTTAGGGGCTTAGCCTGTTGTCCCTTGTGCGACACAGCAGCTGCGTGATGGTGACAAGGACAGCAATTAGCCGCTGCTTGTCCGCGGATGCATAGCCGCTGTTTTCCCCGGACGCGTTGAGCGGAAAGAAACCCCGGGACTGCGGGAAGAGCCGCGTCCCGCTCTGCTCCGCTCCTCCAGGTGTGGCCCTGGCCGGCTGACCCCGCTCACTCAGCCCCGCTGTCCGGCTCCGACCTGCCCCAGCGCCGGCCCGGTCCTCCCCCCCTCCCAGCCGCGCCCCCTCTCTCACCCTCCCCCCTCCCCATCGGTCTCTCTGCAGGGTTCACTGGACTGCTGTGCGAGCAGAACGTGGACGAGTGCAAGCCCGACCCCTGCCACCACGGCCACTGCGTGGACGGCATCGCCACCTACACCTGCGTGTGCAACCCGGGCTACACCGGGCCCATCTGCAGCGAGCAGATCAACGAGTGCCAGAGCAACCCCTGCCAGAACAGCGGCCGCTGCGTGGACCGGGTCAACATGTACATATGCAACTGTCTGCAGGGCACAGAAGGTGAGCTGCCCCTGGGGTCCTCTGCCGCTGCGCTGCCCCCTCCTCCCCGCTCCCGGCGCCCTGTCGTTTTTTTGAGGTGGTAAAATACAAATACGAAGTGCTCCAGCCAACTGGGAACTGCTTCCAGGGGGCTCTCCACACTTTTCTGTATGCGCATGCTGCCACCCGGTGGCCTTTCTGTGCAGTGCAGCGTGTCTCATTTACCCCGTTGTGCCCCTTCATCTTTCTTTCTCTCTTAATTGTGGAAGTCTCTACTGTTGAACGGCTTCCCGCCCTCGACAGCTCTTGCTTTTGTAGGAGTTGCCTCACCGAATTAATTCAACTCGTCCTCGTTGTCCTCGATTTCTAATTGCCTGCTCCTGCTGAGTTAACATAATAGACCAGTCTTCAACTGTCTCCAGCTCCTCCTGGGGGATTCCCAGGTATTCCCAGGACAGCCGAGCTTGTCCCGGGTCTGTCCTGGAGTCTCTGCCCCACGGTCTGTGCCCGGTACACCTCCAGCATGAGGCGCCTGGGGGTGCATAAAGGGGATAAGGGATAAGGGGGGCCTTTTGTGCGCTTCCTGCAGGTGCAGGGCTCGCTGAGGCGAAGGCCTGGGTATTCACTCAGCTTATGAGAGCACAGATCTCGAAGCAGGAAGTGTCAAGGCTGACAGCAGAGCCACCTTTGCAAAAAAAAAAGACAGTTGTGTTGCGACAAGAGATCAGATAGAAAGAAATCGAAATGCCTTCAGTGACTCTTAAACTAGCACCCCGTAGATTTTCTGTTGTGCTGCATAACTTTATTAAAAGTATTTTTATTATTTAGTTCTAGACTTTCTACTTCATCTTCACCTAAGCCTGGCACAACAGTGCGCTTTTTCGTGAATAAATTCAAAAGAATTTGCTTGTGTTTTTAAGTACAATCCCATGTTGAACCCTGGGGACATTCAGCTGTAGAGTTGTCGGTGTTTTTCATCATTAAGGCCGTGATGCGACGTGTTGATTCAGTGTTGGAGAAAATGAAAAGATCTGGCCTTTTTGGGACATCGCCCCGTGACTTAGAGGAGTCGGAGACTGGTGCCGAAGTAATTATTTACCCCCGTTGGAAGGGGCTTCTGAGTTTCACTGCCTCGAGGGGCGCAGTAGTTTTACCTGGGCTGCAGCGCCTGGCTTTCGTCCTGTTCCCAGTTTCCAAGTCCCATGGAGGATCCTGAATCCCAGAGAGTTTGCGTTCTGTGTAAAAAATAAAGGAAACCTGTTCTGGTGTTTTCTCAGGGCTCAACTGTGAGATCAACATTGACGACTGCGCGAGTAACCCCTGCCAGTTCGGAGTGTGTCAGGACGGGATCAACTCCTACGACTGCGTCTGCGCTCCTGGCTTCACTGGTATGTCTCTCCTCTCCGGTATAGCAGACAATACTTGTCTCACCCCAGTGTACCTCTGTGGGGCCCTCAGCAGGTTTTCATTTTTTATCTGTAAATACATTTGGCTTTTTCTCGCAAATAAAATAACATTTTCCGTCCCGTCACCCAAGAGTGTTTCTCCCCTTCCACGTTCCTACTGAAGGACCCCCTAAAATACAGCCAGACAGTTGCATTTAACAGCCCTGCTTCCAGCCTTGGACTGTGCCAACAGCAGGCCTCATGGGCCTCCACTGCCGCCCCCTGCTGGCGCCTTGGATCATAGCAGTAGAAAGCAGCAGGACTGGAGGTTCAGGATCAGACAGGATTAGACCACAATGGGTAAAAAAGCAGTCCCGATCAAACTGAAAGTGTGGCAAAGCCCAGCCTTTTGCACCCTTTCACACTGTAGAATGGAGAATCTTAACAGGTGATCGTAGCCCTTCCATATCAATTTCAACACTCTGGCTGGCCTGCAAGCTCTTTTAGGAGCCTAAGAGGACAGACGTAGCAGTTCTGGAACAAGAATAAAGCAGGTGAACAAGCACATTCGGTTTTATTCTGGACACAAGCTCATCTGTTGAGGTCAATATCGGCCAACTGTTACAATAACAGTCCTCTTGAGATCTTTGTTTTCGGCGGAGCTGTTTTATCTTGAACTTAATTCTTTTCTTACAGGACTGATTTCCAAAGCCAGGGTGAGATTTCCGCGGTGCTGAAAAACATCTTGCAGTATTATTTTTACTGAAGCCGCTTGAACGCGAGGGTGATTGGCTGAGCCCCATTCTCATGTAGTTGTAGGAGGGGACATGCAGTGATTGAACAGAGCTGCATGGGCCTGGTGATCTCACGGCACCAAGGGTCGCAGTTCTGCCTCGTGTGTCCGAGTGCTCTTGACCTGTTAACCACCCTGTGTCTGAAAGCAGGTAGCTCCTGTATCCAGTCCGGCTTAAAGTGCTGAACACTCAGTACTGATGTGTGCCTTTCTTCTGTCCACAGGCCCCGAGTGCAAAACTGATATAGACGAGTGCCTCTCGAACCCGTGCCAGAATGGGGGCACGTGCGTGAACGGCAATAACAGCTTCCACTGCGAGTGTCCCGAGGGCACGCATGGCTTGCTGTGCCACGCCGGGCAGGACGAGTGTCTGAGTGCCCCCTGCGTGCACGGGGAGTGTCGGGACGACTTGGAGGGGTCAGTGCCTTTCACCTAGCACGCACCTTCTCTCTCCCTCCTTCTCTGACTCTTTTCACACAGCTTCTCTGCGGAACACATTCAGATTCATGACCAGTGACTTACAGTGCTGGCAAAATGGATACGGTGCAGGTTTTCTCCCTGTTGTCTCTTACCCTGGTCAGACACTCAGCTAGTGTGTATTGGCTTTCAGGGCTTTCCAGTTTGTGTTGCGTTTGTGTCTGTGCGTCCCAGTGGGTAAAGTAGTGTTGTCTGGCTTGTGCAGCGATTTAACTTTAATGTGTGTTGTGTTGTGCTGTCCTTAGGTCTGTCGTTGTCCAGTGCTGTAGATGACCTCTGTCTCGTTGTCCAGCGCTTCAGATGTCCTCTCTCTCATGGTCCAGTGCTGTAGATGTCCTCTCTTTCATTGTCCAGTGCTTCAGATGTCCTCTCTTTCATTGTCTAGTGCTTCAGATGTCCTCTCTTTCATAGTCCAGTGCTGTAGATGACCTCTCTCTCATGGTCCAGTGGTGCAGATGACCTCTGTGTCATTGTCCAGTGCTGCAGATGACCTCTCTCTCTGTCTCTCAGGTACAGCTGTCAGTGTGATCCAGGCTGGACAGGGAAGAATTGTGAGCTGGATCAGGACGAGTGCGAGTCAAACCCGTGTCAGAATGGGGGGACCTGCACAGACCTCACTAATGGCTACACCTGCACCTGCAGACGTGGCTTCAAAGGTCTGTGAGACTCCTTCTATCTCCTTTTCTGTGCTTCTTCCTGTTTCTTTACCCCCATCCTTGATCTCTTTTTTTTTCCCCTCCCTGAAATTCAAATTGGCTTTATTGGCACCACCGGAAAAATTCAGTATTTCCAAAACGCGCAAGGGACACAGGACAATCGCGCAAGTGTGGAATGTTAACAGCTGACATACATGGTCCAGAATCCTGACCAGGTCTAGTACAAGTGTTCACATTACTCCTATCCTCGAGTCCTTGCACTGGCTTCCGGTCAAATTCCGCGTAGACTTTAAAATCCTCATGCTCACCTACAAGGCTTTACATGGCTTGGCACCTCA